ACGTGACATGTTCGTACGAAACCTTTGTACGAACAAAAGTAAAATAAATTTAGGATAAGAATGCGAACATGTGTACCAATGTGTTTACTGATGTTTTAGATAAGCTTTTATTTGATGCTTTAACTTCATGTTCCTATTCAATGTTTTAATCGCATATCAACTATTTATTGGTGGGATGGTTTTTTTTTCAACTGGCAGCAAAGCACATTTCTGTGCAGGAACACTACAGCTTAGTTAAACTAAAAGCTATTGCAAACAAGACCAAAACCAAAAATGACCAAAACAGAAAATATCCATTAATTCTGCCACATTTCCATGGTTGAGACACAGAGGCAACAGGCCCGGGAGGGAAACACAGACATTTTTTTTCTCCAGCAACATTTGCAAGCTCCAGCGAGCACCTGGTGTTACAGCCTTGGCTCCTGGGGCTCGATAAAACAACAGGATGCTACATCTCCACAGACCTGCCACCTGCAGGGAAAGCCGCAAAGGTCAGGTGTTTAAGCCAGGTGGCAGGCAAGAGAAAGATCCTGGATGTTTTTATACCTGTGAACACAAATGATATAATAGCATGTGTAACTGCTATGACATTTTGTAAGATTAGAATTTTGCTTGTTTAATTTTTAAGTTGGCAGCATCTACTTTATTCTTACAGTTCATCAATCCAGTCAGAATTAAACTTTTTCTCCAAGCTGTGGTCATTTAAAACATTTTACAACAGTTAAGGTATTTCCACCAAATCCCCATTTAAAATATCTGAACTTTCCCTTCTTCTCTAAAGCACTTGTATCCATGCAAATAAAGAGTGACAATCAAGCCACCACGGGCCCTTTTTACCTTGTTTCAACAAATTATTCTGCAGAGCTCAAAGAAAAAGAGCATCTGCCGTCCTAACCAAAATATTAAAATCAACATCAAGTAATGATGTTTTTTACAAGTTATTTTAACTGTAGAGTGTTTCTATACTTTGTTCCTGTTTTATTTTTTATTCATTATTTTTTAAGTACCTTCACTGCTAATTATCCACATTTCCTCCACATTAATTTGTTAATCCACAGTGAGTGTAATTAGCTCCATGGAAGTCTGCTTGATGGTAATTTTTAAACAGAGATTATTATGCATTATTTTTCAGAGGGCAAATGAAGGATGAGGCGAGAGGTGACAAAAATATGAGGTGGGGGGTGTCTCATGCTGTTGGAAAAAGTAAAGAATGTGAAACAAAATTAAAATCAAGGCCCATCCTTTTTATGAAAAATAAAAAAAATGTATATCGCTTGCCACCTTTCACTCCAGAGTATAAAATTAAGAACAGCATTTAACGAGAGGAAGCAGAGCTATAGCCAATTTGGTTGAACTTAGTAAATTACTTTATGTGTGATCTRCAGCAAATGTGTTGGATTTTGTGTAATCTGTTAGCACTTACAACAGGGTAATTTAACTGGTGGCCTGTGGGTCAGGTTACTTCAGTCTGGCACGCCAACATAGCCTGGTAAAAACCAGACCCTTGTCCTTCACTTTGCTTTGGACAAGGGTCTGGACTCTCGGCTATAGAGAAGCAATTCTTGCTGGAGGCGTGYCCTCTGCTGAAGTTRAAAATGATTGGATTGGTTGGCCGTGATGTATGTTGCTGTGAAAGWGGCTAAGCTAAGAGGCTAACCGGAAATCACGTGTGCTGTAAACAACCCTGCTGAGAGGAGAAATGTACCGAGCCGAANATGAGAAGAAACCTTGGTAAAATTTTCTCTCATAGCTTAGTTATGAGAAGTGTGAGATAAGTTATTTGAATAAATAACTCATCCCTACATACGAATTATATTTATCACAGTACAGTTACCTCTTAATTTATTTTTAAATATATTAAAGGTTTGCACATCCAAACAGACAAAACACTTTATTTTTGCTAAAACATTTTGTAGGATTAACTTTTGCAGATATATGACAACTAGCTGAAACTGACCCACAGAGAGAACTTTGTGAGTTTAAGGAAAATAAAATTTAAACAGAGACACATCTTTGCTGTAATCTGGAATCTACAAATGATCATCTTTTTAACGTTAAACAGATGAAAGCAGCTGCTGCCTCCCGCCTCACCAAAAAAAAAAAAAAAAAAAAAAAACAGTCTTAGCACACACACACACGAGAGAGCCCTCTCTGTCGAGTTTGGTCACGTGCTCAACTTACACGTCTGTAAGATAACAATGAAGCTCAGAACACATTAACGTTTGATACAAAGTTAGACTACAAAACTCGGGGCTGGTCGGGCTCGGTTCGGGAGCGGGGGTGGGGTGGGGGTAACAGTGTACCAGTTTAGGTATTGCTTCGGTTGAAATGGACTGCTTATGCACGAACACATACGTTTAATTCTTAAATGTTTAATAATTTATTACATTATTTCACCTTCATAGGGTGACGGGCGGTTCTGTTAGGATAGCGGGTCGAGGCATCATCTTGGAAAAAGTAGAGAAAATGATGTTTCCTCCTGCAGTCTATCTCCCTGCTTACAGACTGTAGGACCCGCCCTGCTCTGCTCTGATTGGCTAAAACTGTGACTCTGGTTCTCTTTATTGGTTGAAAGCAGCGTCAGTCAAATCCAGCCAGATAGAAGCCCCCGACAACACACGTTTTTTTCTCTCCTCCTCTTCACCTTTAAGAAATCCGCAGCAGAGACGAAGAAATCCGTCCTTCCTGACAAAACTTAAGACCCTTAAGTAACGTATTCAAGACTAACTTACCGGTACACATTACTCATAAATTCAATACTTTTAAAGACTCTTAATTTTAGAAATATGAATATAAGACTTTTCAAGACCCCACGGACACCCTGTCAAGGAAAAAGAGAAATATGAAAATCTTCTTTCAGCTATTTCCTGGTGTACATTACAGGCAGCTTCCACCCGCAATGCATCATGGGATTGGGTGGATGAAAAAGGATGTTTTAAGCAGTTTTATATGTACAGACACCTCTTTTTCAGATAAATGGGGTGGGGACTAATTGGTGGGCCTGATGGATAGAGCTTTATCATAGCTAAACAACAAAAGAAATCTGAAGCATGTTGAACAGTTTCTGAGTTATAAGCATTTTTGCATGTCCAGACACCCCCTCTTTAGATGGAGCCCCCTCCTCAAATATGGGGTCTATTGTCAAACCCTTGGCTGGCGCAGGGTAGGTCGGACTCATCTACAGTCCTGCCAAATTTCATATTGATTGGTGCAGCCGTTTTTGTGCTACGGTTGACCAAAAATCTTAGGAAAAAAAAAGAAACTGTACAAAAACAATATAACCCCCGCTTCACATGAGGGGCTCATAATTAATAAATGTGTCTGACAAATCAGCAGCTCTCATTTACAGTCSCCTCGTTCAGCTCGGTACTTCTCTCCTCTCAGTAGGGTTGTTTACAGCACATGCAATTTCCGATTAGCTTCTTAGCCTCCTTCACAGTGGAGCTGGTACACAATGACGTGCGGTGAGGTTCATAGCTGGTGAGGCACTGAGGGATCTTTGCAAGTTCTTCAAGTCACCAAATCCCATCTGAGTCCACACAGTGCCACAAGTTGAAAAAAGAAGGCAAGGAAAGCAGAAAAGGCGGTTTCGAGCAGGACATCCACAAAGCCAGTCTTTTCGTGAATACCACTCGGTTTGAAAAGAGCGGTTAACCTTCTGTCCCGTAGNTTAGTGTTGTAATGTAGTCATCCATGTCGAAAGTCGGGATAAGCGAGAGGAAAAAAATCACTATCTCTATTATAATCTATCGCTGCACTTGACTTGCTTCCCGAATCGTTTAGCCTAGCTCGCTGTCACTTACTCGGCAGTTGAGGAGTGAACAAGACGAATGTCTGGGATCTTGAGCACCCCCTGCCATGAGGCAAGAGAACTGCCTGCCTCACCTCGAACCTGTTCTCTGCCGTTTCTAATCGCTCAGTACACGAAACACCACGTTACACAAACACAGTTGGTGACAAAAAGCACTGTACATTATATACATAAGCTAAATTATTGGAAATAAGTTCACATATTAAATTTGTTTAAACCATTTTATTGACGCCGTACAGCAACATGCTCTTTCCGCTTAGCAGCCAGCGCAGAGCCAGGGGTTGCGCAATCCAAGGTGAGGCAGAGCTCGCTGCTGCCTCACCGGCATCGCTTCCAAGCATTTGAATGGGAAAATAAGAAAATTCAGCAATTTTGAACAAATAAAAATCGAAATTGGTGAAGCTACGTGAAAAATAAATATTTTTTTAGTACAAACCACCGGATGAATATAACAATTTAAATTACTTTATGATTATATATTTTCTTTCTTTCCATGATGGCTGGTGAGGCACTGCCTCACCTGCCTCCCCTGACCGCACGTCACTGCTGGTACACATACGTCGCAGCCAACCGATCCAATCATTTCAAACTTCAGCAGAGGCCAAAGACTCCTGCAAGCATCACTTCTCTATGGCCGAGAGTCCAGACCCTCGTATGAAGCAAAGTGAAGGACATGGGTCTGGTTTTTTACCAGGCTAAATAATTCATCTTGAAGAAAATACACAAAGAAAAGCTTGGGTCTCAGTAGGTTAAAGCTACATTAAACCAGCTAAATAAAGCTGAACTTTTAAAACGTATTTTTTCTTTTTAGTAAAATTAATCAACATCTTTTTCTGAGCTAATTAAAAGCAAAGACTGTTTGTTATATTGTTGTTGTTGTTGTTTTTGTTGTTCCCTCAGGTCTTTGTAAACCAACAAGTTCTTCTTGACAAGAACACTCTGGAATCTACTGAAACTAGCAAATAATTTCTTTTTATCACAGTTTGACAACATTTTATTATCTACAMCTATTTGTTTTTCTTTAACCCAGAAAGGAAACACGTGCAAGAATAAAGACGAGGACAGTTTTACCCAGTAGAGCAGGATGACGCTGATGTACTGGATGATGCTGTAGAGAGCCATGAACTTAAAGACGCAGAAAGAGGTCGTGAGAGCAGCTCGACCCTCCCTTTGGACATAACAGACAGAATCTCACATTATTAACTGATCTGCTGCAGAAAAATTCTGAATCTTTTTAATTCAACTCTCTCTCGCTCTCTTTTTTTTAAATTCAACTCTCAACTGAAAAGAGAGAGAGAGTCTGCAGAATCTACTGAGTGCCTAGTTCACCAGCAGGTCCAGTTCTCCTGTGTTTGGACCAGAAACACGTCTCTACCTGATGAGGTTGGGCACGCAGGAAATGTTGGAGGTAGACGAGGTGAACGGAGATGCCACGGATGCCTCCAGCTCAGACAGAGAAATCCCACCGTGAGCTCTCTTCAGAGCCTGACAGGAAACAAAACATTCATTAGCTTTAATGTCTTGGAGGGATTTTGGTGATGTACAAACTGTGTAAAGATGTTGAGCTCCTGTCCAGAAACTGATAAATTGGAATTTTTTTTTTGTTAAATGAAAATCAAACTTTTTTCTCATTTTGATTTTTCCTTTTATTTATTTTTTTATTAACTCTAAAAAATGAAATAAAAATAAAATAAGAATTAAATATACAGTATATAATAATCTGGACAGGTTCTTCTTTGTCCGGAGGACCTATTTAACTTCTTTTAGGTTATTGATAAGGACAGTCCAGTTTTTTCCTTTACACACAGACATAATTATCACTACCTCTATATATCTGACACAAACTGAGCCACAATAAAACAATCTCTTTACCATATTACATCCATACTTACTCCACAGTCATTGGCACCATCACCACACATTCCAACGATATAGCTGGAAGATAAAAATAATAAAAATAATAAATAAAACATGAAGATTAAATAAAAACAGAAAGTTCAGAAAAGAACCAAAACTGAAAGTAAAGTCAGAAACTCACTCGATGCCCTGCAGGACTTCCACCAGCTGAGTCTTCTGGTCTGGAGCCATGCGAGCGAACACGGTGGCTTCCAGTGCGAGCTGCAGCGCCCCCATGTGGAGAGACAACTGAACTGTATCACAGAGGTTTAGATCCTGGTGTGTGTGTGTGTGTGTGTGTGTGTGTGTGTGTGTGTGTGTGTGTG